CATAGGATCAAAGCGATCTTCGTTAAAAGTAATATAACTAAACCCATCAATGGTACGTGATCAAAAACCAAAAATAAAAAATAAAAAGGAAAAATCATCTTCTTCATAAACCACCACCCCACCCCACCCCACCCCACCCCAACCCAAAATTAGAAATTTGGCCCCTATCCTCGTAGAAAATACAAGACCACAAGTCTGAGCCATTTGGCAAAAGTTTTGTGAGATTTCTTCTCTTTCAGTTGCAGCAGATTCCAAATCTCTAGTCACCCTGGCACATCTGCAATCAATTCACCATTTTATTTCAATCTCATTTTGATACAAATAAAATGTAAGATCAGAAAGGACTTCAAAGCTCAAAAGTCCCTAATGTTCGACTCTATCCCTCAAAATGATGAGAAAGGGGAAAATTTTTTCAACACCGGGCAAGGATTGAGGAATCATGTACAATTAAAGAGAAAAAGAATGACCTGGTGGAAGTGTTAGGTTTATAGATCTCCTCTTTTGATCGTTTATATAAGTTTTAAGAAAAAACAAATTTATGCCGACAAGAGCCACCACTAGACCACCCAATGTGCTTTTTGCTTGCTTTATATACAATGCGGGATTCGTGAACTTCTATAGTAATGAAATTAGGTTCCATAATTGCCACCGTGAGAAAGAGAAATTACTAGTGAAACTAGAGAAATTACCGTTGGAGATGGCGATGGTGGCGATGGTCGGAGGCAAATTTTTAGTTTTGGGTGGGATGGGGGTTGAAGAAGAAGAAGATAGTTTCTCCTTGTTTATTTATTTTATTGGTTTTTTTATTTAAGTTTTTAATTATTTTTTGGGAAAATTATTAAATTACTATGTTCCCTTTTTAAATTGATTAAAATGTTGTCAAAATTAATTTTTTGGATCAACTAATGATAGATTGGATGAAAACCGTCCATTAGGGCCTCAGCTATTACGATTTGAAATGTTTGTGGTGACGGCTGCGACAATTGAAATGTTAGAAAAAGTCTACCACTGTTTAAAAGATTTGGAGCCTCAACTAGAATTATCCCTTATAACAATTTCACGCCATCAATTTGTCAACCAAGGTGTCAATCAAGATATACAAATAGGTTAATCCTTAAAAGTATCCTAATAGTATGGTCAATCCATGTTGCACGGGAGATACATCTGGTCCTCCCTGAATTTGATTCTTTGAAAATTTCTCACACCAATACCTACTTCGTCCAAACTCCTATCTTTTCATCCTAAAAGCCAAAAACTACTACATTTTCTTCGTTTAAAAAAAAAACTCCTCATTTGACTTCATTTTTACTTTTCTATTTATAAATATAAACTAACCCTTTTGAGCTATATTTCTTCCCATTTCTTGTTTAATTTGGAGTTATTTTAATTTACGTTGAAGGGTAATCGGACAGCTCCAAACATGGCTACTATCAAAGCCATCGACAAATCTCTTCAAAATTGTTCCTTAAACCACCAGCAAATCAGCAGCAGTAGAAGCAAAAACAGCAGCAACGGCGTTTCCATAGGAGGAGGTGGTGGCATTGAGTCGGGTCACCGTGGCTCAGCCACTTCAGATTCACCAGATAATCATCATTTCTCCAACCCAGTGGGCTCCAAGACCGTAATATTCAATACGGAGATCCCGCTCCCTGAATACTGGGAACAATTCTTTGATTTAAAGGTAATAATGCCTCCTCTTCCCCCTGAATGGCCTCTTAAATTAATGGTCGTTATTTATTATCTCTTCGTTCATTTATCTTCATCAGGTTTTAAACTTCTTTTTAGTCAATAAATACATGCACGGATCAAGATCAGTTGTGGTATTTTTCCCATTTTCTTTAAAAGGAATCTTTATTCTCTTCCTCCCATAATCAAGAATTCTTCTGTGGATTTCGATGGCAGACCGGTGAATTCTATTACAAAAATTGGAAGACTGGGAAAAAAGTGACGGAGGATCCGAGGACCTCCGCAACATTCAGTGGAGATTTTTACCCTGAAGACGATGGCAGGTCATATGACAGGGAAGGGTCATCAGATTCATCAGAATCTTCTCCTCAATCTTCAACTGAGCAATGGAGCCATAATGGAGATCGTTTAATGGATGAATTCAACGGACTTGTGGCTGTAGGATGCAAAGGCTGTTTAATGTACTACATGGTGCCCAAGCTGACTGAGGATTGCCCCAAATGTCATGGTCCACTTATTCGTTTCTGATGCATCTTTGAATCGTTCCATCATTTCCATTTCTTTCTCTATCTCTTCTTACCCAAATTTGTTAGATTTTAATCTTTTGGTGGATCGTTATTATCTGGGTGATGATGGGACCATGGAGTTTCTGAAATGCGACAAAAAGGGTAATTGTTCTTGTTGAAAATTATCTAGATCTTTACATACTTTATGAAGGCTTAAACTTGTGTTATTTT